TTGTAAGACTTAGAATATAAGTACATAGCACCATAAAAGTAGCAATTATGATACTTTTATGGAGTTTTTTTTGTCATTTGTGATCTTAACAGCCCCAGTCCTAATTCATTTTCATGATATTGAAAAGAGTATTTTTTATGGGTTTTTTTTGTCATTTGTGATCTTAACAGCCCCAGTCCTAATTCATTTTCATGATATTGAAAAGAGTATTCAGGATATTTGTCAAAGAAATTATTCTTCTGTGTTTCACACAGGAATGACAAAAGTGTGGAACAATTTTCATATCTGAGAGAACTACTTCTTTAAAATATTAAAATACACAGTCCATTTAAAAAATTGCTTCAAATGCACCTGATGTGTCCAATTCAGTTACTCTTAGTTCTTATAGTTTTAAACACTTTTATCGTTAACCTTTACAACATCTTTAAAACAGGTCCCGTCTTACTCCATTATGATCTTATACACAGTATAAGCTGAAACATTAATAAAATCAACACTACCGTAATATGCATTATCCATCCTAATGCCCAGCACATTAAATCATTCTGTCAGGGATCCTGTTTAAAGCAAACAGAGCACTTATGACAACATGGCTGAAAGTGGGCTAATTCGAAGAGAAAATCCTTTGCTGTGTCTCACTAAGGGTTTGATCCCCTCTGGCACACAGTTCTTTAATGTACTACATTTCAGCAGTACAGCAAAGGAAAAGGATTTGATGATTTTGGGATGGAACCACCATAAATGCCAAAATCCCTCCTATTAGAGGCCAAAGGATGTATGAGACCAAATGTAGTCCCTCAGCTTTCTGCAGACATGAAATGAAATTGCTGCCCTGAAATACATATCATCATCCCACCCCTCTGATATGAAAATATGTGCAGCTGAATTAACCTACCTTACATGAATGATTCAGACGCCCAGAGGAAAACACACCCCTCATGTGTGAGGTTTATCATCAATCCAGCCTGGCGAATAATCTCGGATACATTAATGAAATAAAGATAGACCTCGAAGTAAAGAAAATGTCAATTTTACAAATTTCTTCCGCAGTAAACCTGACTACATCCTAGCTGGGGATTCTTTTGAACATGATCAGATATTAAACTCCTTCATTTTCTTTAATTTTTATTAAAAAAACAACATGTTTTGTGCTTCTAATCTTCTAAAGCTAACTGTCTCAACATGCTGAGTAGTTTGTCTGTCAGCATAAGCCAAGAAATCACGCTTAGCTATATCTTTTCGGTTTCTGCACCTTTACTAAACATGATTAAAACAAGAAAAACCCTTCCTTGTGATCTGTCTCTCAAGACTTCTCTTCCAGACGGATTTCTTTGAAGAACAACAGAGCGTACTTAAGCAAACCTCGAAAGAGTTCAACGCTGAGATCCGCACAAGCCTGGCTTCTCTACGTCTCTACAGCCCTGGTCTTAATTAAGCCGAATAAAATGCGTAGACCTTGTTCCAGTTCGACGCAAATACAAATGGCTTAAAAATAGATCTCGTGTCCCAACACATGTGGGATTGCAGTTTACAATTATATTCCTTCCCCAACTGTAACAGACCACTTGTTTACCAATCCTGTTTGCACAAATGAAGATGAGAAAGCAAACATGACCAGCAGCCTGTTGACCTACTAGACTGATCGGTATTAATGAGAGTCCTCCTGCTAATTTCACTCAAGTACCTACAATCCTCCATTCATCCTCAAGGTTGTGAGCGAGGGCTGTATTTGCTCTTAATTCTCATTTCAAACTCATCACTTGACATCTTACCACCAATTTTCGGTTAATATACAAACCATTTCAATGATTGCTTATTGGCCGTATGATGCCTTTACCTATTTTGTTATCGACGTGACAAAGAAAAATTAAAATGTCAAAAAATTCAAACGCAAAAAGCGTCAGTCTTAACAGCAGAATAGTGACTAAAATGAAAGCCTGAATCTAAAGATGGGCCAATGAGCGTGGGACGAGGATTTAAAAAAATGAATACATATATAAACACGTTAGAAACAACAGTGGGTGTATCATTATCTATTTCCAAAAGCTTAATTCCAGTCATGTTAAGTGACGCCAACAAAATGACTCACTCTAATACCATCACACGTCTTTCACCCTTTCGTACACAACATGTGACTGTGACTGGTTCATTAGATCAGATAACAATCTATGGTTGTGTTTTCTCGAACATCTATTAGCCTCATAAGCCAAACAAGACCCACAGCAGTGCTGTTTTCCAGAGTGCGTCACAGAGAATAGTTTTATTCTCAAGCGTGGCTCCGCTCCAGGCAGATGCATGCTCTCTTGTTACTGCAGTGTTTGCATGTGTTTTGCCTGTTTGTGCTCAGATTGTAATGCGGTCTGATGCTTCGCTGAGCATCTACGGTTTCCAGCTAAAGTCAGACATGGTCAACTAAATGGAAATTTCCATCTCCATGGTTCGCTGTGGACTGGGACACCACTTTTAGCACTGTTAGATATGCCGACATCCTGCCAACAATGCCAAAAATGCTAGATCGAGTCTCCATGTCAGGAATATCAGATCCAACCCCGGATAGCAAATCCTGTCAGAAAATATCCGCTTAGTTTTTTGAGTTTGAGTTTTGTCTGGTACCCAATATCAGAGTTTAATGCATTTTGTGTAGTACCCAAAACTGTATTAACAGTCTTCTATCAGCCCAAGATGCAGACAGAGGATGCCAGGGAAGAGCAGAGGTTTATTCTAGAGTTTATAATCTTAGTTGTGTCTGTTTTACTGCTCAGTCAAGCTTTGTCTGACCGGCACAAATCCAGCAAGTGTTATTACACCAAAGCAAAAGCAATGAAAATTTAGTGCTTCACATCATTGTCCAATGATGTAAAAAAAAGGCTTACTCATGAAGACGGATATCCCTTGAAACCACACAATAAGATTGAAAAACAATGAAAAAATATATTAAATGACGGATCAATGAATGAATCAATGAAACGATTATATAAATGCAAAATGCTTTTTTGATGCTGTTCACTTTCAAACAACATGTGGAACCACTGTCTGATTGAATCAAGGTCAGCCAAAGAGTTTTTCTTTTCTTTTTTTTTTTTGACTGTGGTTAAATTATTATTATAAATGATTGTATGATTAAATTGAATAATTAAATGATTAAATGCTAAAATATTATGAATGAATGAATATAAAAGAAAAAACAATAAAGCACAACACAAATGGTTGGTTGCTCTCTTGCAGCAACACACAAGTTGCTACGAAGAATCCTTAGATCCTTCAGCAGCCTCAGGCATCTGTGGGAGATTCTTGAAGACAACAGGTCTGATTTTGGGGTGGAAGAAGCTTGTGTTTTGGGTGTATGCTTTTTCCATACAGAGAAACAAGTACAGAGATCCTTGATTCTTGTTACCTGAAGGTAGAAAATAGCTGTCATCTGACATCTTTCACTGATCTGCTGACAGTAAAAGCACAATGCGCATGACAAATAACGCTGACAGCAATGATAATACATATCATTCACATTTTCTTTCAATTATGAAGCAATTAACAACTGATTTTCCACAAATGTAATTACTTAATTAAAATGATGCATTTCAATTCAACAAATGTGCCGACTAGGAAGAGGAACTGACAGTTTCTTTATGCGGTCAACAGTGGGGGCTTTACGATTACAAATGTATCTTGCCAAAATGTGTCTCAGACACAGAGGAGACTGATGGCTTTAATATCACTTCCACCAGCTCAATTTGTACCAGGATGCCTATGAAATGGCCAGTCTAATCACATTTCTCCAAACCACAGTGTTTTATTGGCTATGTGTTTACCCTGTCCTCATATGTGACATATGTGACCTGGGCGCGGTCCAATCATTGTTTCTCATTTCAATACCACAGTTAAATTTGCATCTGCAAACTCAAAGCTGAAGAAATAGGTCTAAGCTTGACAAATAAGTGCACTGGAAATCATTGGACCAAACTGAGAGTGTAATAAATTAAGGAGAACATTGTCAGCAACACTGAGACGCTCTGCAGAACGGAAGGTGTAGCTGTGCAGAAAACCTCCCACAAATCCATTCCGGAGATTTATTTTCCATGTTGTGTTGCAACAAATTTGTGTCCTCATTTATTTGAATTGTAAATCTGGGCCAGACGTTATTTGTGGTGTAGTTCCCAAATCAGAAATGATGAGGAGATGTAGGCAGACATGCGAAAGCACATGCCAGTCGCATAAACACAGCATTATGTTAAAATAGCTGGGAAAAATAGGTCTTAGACCAATTTAACTTTGAACTTAATGACTTAAGCTATAATCATCATAAGGCCCATTCACTCCAAAGACGATAACAATAAAACAATAAAACTATAACAATAAAAATAAAGTTATAATAAAGAATAGAAGTATAAAAATATAGTTATGCAGCAATTAACAATTGATTTTCTATCATCCTTTCACACAAAGGAAGATAACCATAATGATTATAATAAAGATAGTTTTAAAAGTCGTTCTAATTTTATGAGATTAGGGACATTCACACCACAACTATAAATCAATATATAACAATAAGATAACAGAGGAACACTATTGTTGGAATCACTTCCAGAACGATTTTTTCCAACTGATAAATGATAAAAACTTTGACAGCCAATCAGAATCCACTCAACTTTAAAGAGCTAGAGTATTTAAAGCAGTAGGTGACATAACTGCAGTTTGCGTTTATAATAAACAGATTGTCATTATCCGTTGTGTAACAGAATATTTTATAAGACAACGACTTTATTGACCATGAAGCTTGTGAAAGACTGTGCCACAGAAAAAGAAGATTTACATCCATTTATATTATGTTAGAAATGCTGGACACTAATATCTTTATTTTCATATTTATCATTCTTATTGTGAACGGACCTTCAAACAAAACAAATGAGATGACTAACTTATAATACTAGTCTCAGCAGTTTATATAACAGGTCCCCATGAAGTCTTCATTTGATTTTGTGTTTGTATGTCTGGGGTCGTACCTGTATTGTGGGTGGAGTGCGGTGTTTTCTCGTGGTAGTGGTGGACATGGTGGTGGTGGTCTCGATAAAGGTGGTGGACATCTCTGGAGGGAGGGCCGTGGTTCTGGCTGAACCTGCGGAGGGAACCTCCCCCACCAGGCGGACACTGCCGTTGATTTTGATGTTAGGGTTTCCCTGAGCAGCCATGTTGAGCACTTTGAGGCCGTTGTAGTAGAGACCGGATAGTTGGCCCTGAAATGGCCTCTTGCGGTCTGAACCACCAATTGTTATAGTGGCCTGGGTGTTGAATATCGTTAACTGCCGCCCTGAGGATGCAAGAAAGATCCAGAACATTTCTTGGTTATGGGTCGGAAAGAGCACAAAATATCTCGTTCAGCAACAAGATTCATGGCTCTTTTAGGCACTTAACCTACCCAACCAAAGTAAAACGATTTAGATGGCTGTGCTGGATTACTATGGCTTAATTTTCTTCCGAAATGCTCAGGGTTATACTACCATGAGACACGTTGTAAACATTTGGAGGGCCAGACTATAAACCAGACCCATTATGTGTCCCTGAATGAGTCTAGCTACAAGCTCAGTACGTTTTACTATAATGAGTCGTGGGCCTCCACTCATGAGATGTGTCTGGGGATGTTTGTTTTAATGGCAAGCCCAAAGAGCTGTGCTGATATTCTATGTGACTGTGGGCTCATGGAGACACAGCAGGAAGCTGATCAGAGGGGGTTCTGGATGTCATTTGAGGACAGGGGGCCACAACATCGTGCTGTTTCAACAATGACTTCGAGTGCTAAGGGTGGCACGACACTGCAGGATGTTATGTGAGCCAAATTTCAGGACTCCAAGGAGTGGTGTACCAGGGGGCCAGCCTAAAGGGAGACAACATCATTGGCAGAGCTGTCTTCAGACAGCAGGAAGTGCAACCAATACCCTCAAAACCCGGGAATTCGAGTCACACACGTCTGAGGCCCAACCGCTCGGAGGTAGCCTCTGAGAAGAACGCCAACTAACAAAACAAAGCAAAAGTTTTAGATTTGTTTCACAAAAGGGAAGGATGAGTTCTGAGACAACTCTTATAAAAAAACTGTATCTTCTTTTGTGTTACGCAGAAAGTCACACAGGGCTGGAACAACGAGTAAATTATTGCTGTATGATATATCGGAATAAAATATATTACGATATGACTTATTGCGATAGTCACCGTAAAGGCTGTGATTCAGCTGAATAAATATATAACTACCCTTTCAGAGTGAAGACAAATACATGTATATAGGCAATCCATCCAAAAAAAAAAAAAAAAGCCTGACGTTTTAATGTTTATAAAAAAGAAAAAGGAAAGAAATTAATACATAAATACCAGTACTGTAATAGTACAGTGTACTATACAGAGTTACTATAGTTCACAAAAATGTCAAATGAAATGAAAACTAAAACCATAAAAAAATAAAATAAAATAAAAATGAAAATAAAAGTTGAATGAAAATCAAAAATGGAAAAAAATCACTTGATGTACTAAAATAAAAATAAAAAAATACTTAAAATGAAAAATAAAGCAACAAAATTAATAAAAACCTAACAGTTAAAAAGAAAACAGAAAATATAAAAATAAAACGTTTTTTTTTTTAAACTAACTGATATTTTTAACTTTATGGTTCACTTTATGGTTACTGAAAAATGTTGCGTAAAGTGTGTACCCAAGTGTGAACCCAAGTTTTTCCCAATTTTTTTTTTATCATTTTGTGCTACAAAGATGGTTCACATGGAAAGAAGTCTTCAAAATAAAAATAAATTTTTCTTTTTTTATTATTTTTCTTTTCTCTGCAGATGCACTCCACCAAAAAAAGTCACCCAATAATTCTAGAATGATTTATTCTTTCCATATAACTATTCAAGTCATCTGGCGGAAATTTCTGTATTTTTTATACTGCAATATATATTGCAGAATAAAAATAATTGAAATGTCAGTTTTTTCCAGTACTGTGCAGCCCTAGAATAAATGACAGAAATTGCATTTTTAGCTGAACTATCCCTTTAACGGGGCACTAGCGGAGTAACCAACCACCCATGTGACCTAACCTGCAATCCTTGTGTTACAAGTACAGACACTTAACCATGTGGCAGCACCGCAGACAGATGTTGCAGGTGGCTAGCAAGGGACCCTAGTACTGTGGGAGGGCAGTAGGACAAGAAGAGAGCAGATGGAGAGAACGAATGGGATGCTTATTATCAGCGGAAAGAGGGAGTAGAGCCAACTGAGGCCATGACCTCTCTCAAATTCACAAGTACCACACACATAGTTTTATCCCCCATTCCCTCCTATTATATTCCCAAGTCCCAAATTCAGTTTTACCCTGGTAAAGAATGTGTTGTGCTCTAAATAGATCCTCAAGAGAGGCAATGTCAACTGCTATCATTCTAAGCTCTGCTAAGGTGTTAGTGGTGGCACTACAGGGTAGTCTGATGGTGGAAACTCATTACAGCTGGGCTCATACAGGGCTGTGTTATAGACATCACAACACTGAATCATACAAATAAACATAGAACGAATGGGATGCTTATTATCAGAGGTAAGAGAGAGTACAGCCGACTGAGGCCATGACCTCTCTCAAATTCACAAGTACCACACACATAGTTTTTTTCCCCATTCCCTCCTATTATATTCCCAAGTCCCAAATTCAGTTTTACCCTGGTAAAGAATGTGTTGTGCTTTAAATAGATCCTCAAGAGAGGCAATGTCAACTGCTATCATTCTAAGCTCTGCTAAGGTGTTAGTGGTGGCACTACAGGGTAGTCTGATGGTGGAAACTCATTACACAGCTGGGCTCATGCAGGGCTGTGTTATAGACATCACAACACTGAATCATACAAATAAACATCATATACATACAATTTAAAGGAATATTTCATCCAAAAATTACAATTCTGTCATTGTGTACTCACCTGCATGTTGTCACCTGCAAATGTAAACTAAAAATGAAATGAAAACCAAAAATATTACCATTTCAAATCAGCTTTTATTTTATAAGTACTATAATAGTATGTAAAATAATAGTAAAATAAAACTGCAATAAAGGTGCATTCACACCATATTGTAATTACCGTGATTACGAGATTCCAACTTGTAAAAAGCGTTCACGTCCTCGTAGAGCTTGTAATTATAACTTGTGAACTGGGAGTTTTCTGAGCTACAACTTTTACCACTACCACCTGACCACCTCAGATTTATTAGGCACTATGTTTAGGCATTGATAGTGCAATAGTTCTGAGTCCAAGGGTGTGAACAGCTCCAACTAGAACATCACGTGTTTCGAAATCCCCCCAAAAAAACACAATATATTTTAAAATCTCTTCTGTGGAGCGCAGAAGAAATAAACAGAAGAGTTGAGCTATGGCATATGAGGTTCAAGCTCAGCCTGAAATGTGCCCCAATTCTGTTTTCTTCTCTTCTTTACATGCCTATCTAAGAATTACATAAACCAAATGATTTTATATCGAAAACCAAAAATGTAAAATATTTTGGGGAGCTTTGTTGTAGTTTTTTTTTTTGGGACAGTGGGGTTAGGGATGGAGGACTGGCTGGTTCACAGACATTTGTGGATTTGTGCTGCTTTGATCCAGCAGTACAGAGGGTATGCCACATTTTCTCACTCCTGAGAACATGAAAGGCTCTTTGAAAATGAAACAGCACTAGGAGGTGTTAACATGGCACAGGATCACACACTGCGGGGGAGTTTTCCTCCTACTGTGATTAAGTTTCACAAACACATACAAGAATGTGAGATATCCGTGCATTTTAATTCCCTTTAATTCTAAATTAGAGGAACCCTTAATGGCTCTGCGGTACCATGAGTGCACGCCAAAGAAACCCTAGACTGCTGCCACATTTAAAATGTATGAGATATTTCATAGAAATTGTTATATTTTTGTATAATTAGACTTGATAAGTGTGGCTTTCTCTCTCTGAGGAAAAGGCTGCTAATAACAACAGCTCAAAATAATTCATGAGAACAACCGTGTGATTGTGAACATTCTCCCTTTGTAACCCAGCCGTGTTGTGTGCAGTTGTTCTTGCCACCGAGTGATAAATTGCTACGGGACGCCATTGCTGTCTCGCTGAAAACAAATATAGCTTATTGCATGAAACTGTCGGCCTTGCCAAGTACTGTTTGAGGGGGTGGGGGTGGACCTGTTCCACATACAGAAAAGCACCATGATATATTTTTGAATGTGGTATCTTGGAAAGAAAATGTTTTTATTTAGATAGATAGATGATAGATAGATGATAGATAGATAGATAGATAGATAGATAGTTATTATTATTTGGACATGGTGCTACTGTGGTATTCTTTTAAGTACCACAGGATGCCACTGAAATAGTTAAATAGTTATCCAGTGTTATTATTGTTAACGGAAACTAAATTTATGTAAAATAATTTTTGTTAATTGAAATAAAGCTGAAATTAAATAAAATCTAAATTTTAGATTAAAAACTTAAATGAAAATTGGAAATGTTGCCTTGGCAACTAACTTGAAATAAAATAAGTTTAAGTACTAAAATTACTAAAACTAAAACTGAAATAAAAATAAAAATCCAAAAATTTATAATAATGACAAAAGCACATAACATAACAATTACTCAAACTGAACTTGAATTAAAATTACATTGAAATCTGAAAATATAAAAATAAAAGCTAATTCTAAATATTAATAAATACTACAAGAGTAGGCTACATAAATAACATTGAAATAAAACTTGTATTATAAAATAATACCATCAATTTTGACAGCACCATAATATTTTTTGGTCACACAGTAGTATGTACAATAAATTTGGAAATGTGAATTAAATTAAAATCAATATGATTGAGGCATCATTTCATCATTTCAAAGCCAAAGCAAAATAAGCACTGAAAGATGAAGTCTGCGGTCTCCTGCATGAAAACTCAAGTTACCGTGAGCGAAGAACTAAATATGTCACTCCGTCAACACACACTTAATGCACCTATAACTTTGACAAGGAGAAATTTTGAAATTTAAAACACTCGACTCGTTGCCCCAGCCCTCTCCAGATCTTTCTGTACTCTCCCTGAGTACTCTTCTTACACTTGGCATGTATCTCAATCGAAAGAGTCTTTCTGCACATTATCTCGCTCCAAACGCATCCCCAAATAAGAAATGTGACTCCTGAGGATCGTCCCTCAGTATCTGAGGAGACAATGAGAGTGGGAACATTTATCCGACCATCCTTGGTGGTTTCATTTAATCGTGGGATTAGAAAGACAGCTCATATTGAAAGCTTATCTCT